CCACTTTGGCCAGGCATTTCGCCATCAGGCCGTGGACCCCGCGGTAAAAGAGGCCGGAAATCGCGTCTTCCTCATCGGTCGATTACGCTGTTTGGGAGCGAAACAAGAAACTGATAAAAACAGGACCGGACATGTCGATGCTCCCCATTAAATCAATGACGCACTTCCGCTCCTAAGACTAAGCGCGAACTGGTCAGTGTCATGCGACGGTTTTCTTCGGGTTTTTGAACCGCTCTCAAGGTGAATCCGGCCAGTGAAAGGAATTTATCAATCCATTGATTGATTGGGTTTTAATTAAATTGCGCCACTTTGAAGCAGTTCACTCAAGTTGGGTAATAGAGGTTTTTTTTTGGGTTGCGTGGTGCGGTCGGTCTTCGCCCCAAGCGCTTGGAACCCGCCCACTGGTGCCCCAAATCGCCGTTCTGGAGTGAGTTTTACGGCTTTTTTGCCCATAATTTTAGAGGAATTTTTTTGTCGACTATGGCAGTGGTTGGTTCAGGCGGAGGAGTAGTTTTTTTGAAGATAAGGTTTTCTGATAATGCTGCCGGTTGTTGAAAAAAAGTCGAAATTGCAGTTCTGGGGTGAGTTTTTTCGCTTTTTTGCCCAAAGTTTTTGAACGATTTTTTTCTAACTTTGGCATTGGTTGGCGCCGTTGGAGAGCCACTTTTTTGCAAGAGGAATGTTTTTAGAAAATGCAGTCGGTTTTTGAAAAAAGTCGAAATTGCAGTTCTGGGGTGAGTTTTTTCGCTTTTTTGTCCAAAGTTTTTGAACGATTTTTTTCTAACTTTCCTTTCGGTTGGCGCTGTCGGAGCAGCACTTTTTTGCAAGGGGAAGGTTTTTTGAAAATGTGGTTGATTTTTGAAAAATTGCCGAAATTGCGGTTTTGTAGTGAGGTTTTTGCTTGTCTTGGACAAAATCTTAGGAAATATTTGTTTATCACTTTACTACTAGTTGCAAGAGTTGCAGGGGTAGATTTTTAGAAGGGGAGATTTTTTTCAAAATGACGCTCTTTTTTGAAAAATTTCCGAAATTGCAGTTGTGGAGTGAGTTTTATGCCTTTTTACACAATTTTAGAATATATTTATTTCTGACTATGACAGTAGCTGGCGCAGCTGGAGGACTACTTTTTTCGAAGAGAGCGTTTTTCCAAAATGGCGGCTCGTTCTTGAAAAATGGCAGAAATTATGCTTGTGGAGTGGGTTTTTTGTCTTTATTGTCCAAAATTCTTCAATAGATTTTTTTCTGACTTAAGGATTGGCCGAAGTACTTGGAGGACTAGTTTTTGAGAAGAGAGCATTTTTTTGAAAATTTAGCTGGTTGTCGAGAAAATACGGAAATTGGGGTTCTGGAGTTGGTTTTTTTGGTTTTTGTCGAAAATCTGTGACGGAAGTTTGTTTTTAAATTCGGGGCTGGTTGAGGCAGTCGGAGGGCGACTTTTTTTAAAGAGTACATTTATTTAAAAAAACGTCTGGTTTTTGAAAAATGTCGAAATTGCGGTTGTGGAGTGAGGTTTTTGCTTGTTTTGGACAAAATCTTTGAAAATATTTGTTTATGACTTTATTACTAGCTGAGCAACTTGGAGGGCTATATTTTTCGAAGAGGAGGTTTTTCTCACAAGGAGTATTATTTTAGGGAAATTGCCGAAATTGCAGTTCTGGAGTGAGTTTTATGCCCTTTTACACACAATTTTAGAATATATTTTTCTCCTGACTATGGCATTAGTTGGCGCAGTCGGAGAGCTACTTTTCTCGAAGAGAGCGTTTTTTTGAAAATCCTTCCGGTTTCTGAAAAATGGCCGAAATTGAGGTTGTGGAGTGAGGTTTTTGCGCTTTGCCTGCAAATTTCTTTTAGCGATTTTTGGCATTGGTTGGCGCATGTGGAGGACTACTTTTCTCGAAAAGAGCGTTTTTTCAAAATGCGGCTCGTTCTTGAAAAATCGCAGAAATTGCGGCTGTGGAGTGGGTTTTCTGCCGTTTTTGTCCAAAATTCTTCAAAATATTTATTTCTGACCGAAGAACCGGGAGGACTGGTTTTTGACAAGAGAGCATTTTATTGAAAATTTAGCTGGTTGTCGAGGAAATACGGAAATTGGCGTTCTGGAGTGAGTTTTATGGGTTTTTCTCGAAAAACTTTGGAGGAAGTTTTTTCAAATTTCGGGCCTGGTTGAGGCGGCCGGAGCGCGACTTTTTTCGAAGAGTACGTTTTTTTGAAGAAACGCCTGGTTTTTGAAAAACTGCCCAAATTGCGGTTGTGGAGTGAGTTTTTTGTCTGTTTGACTCAAAATTCCCCAGCAAAATTTACTGCGACTTTGGCATTCGGGGGCGCAGTTGGAGGGCGACTTTTTTCGTAGGGAGCCTTCTTCCGAAAACGCTGTTGCTTCTTGACAAATCACAGAAATTGTTGTTCTGGGATGAGTTTTTTGGCTTTTTAACCGAAAGATCGTCCAAACAACTTGCTCTTCCGTTGTCATGGGTTGCGGCAGTTGGAGGCCGACATTATTGGCGGCAAAAATGTTCTCAATGAAGAAAAAACAGTATCTGAACTGCCCGATTTGTTGCAGATACAGCGGCCGCACCGAGAAGCAGGCGGTGCGCGACGCGCAGCTGAAGCTGCGCCAGCCGCCCTCATTTTCGCGCAACCCCTCCAAACGGTACCAAAGACGCCTCAACGGGGCGGAGCCCCCGCCGCCGCTGCAGCCGCCCCTCCCCCAGCCCGCCCACTTCCCCCACCAGGAGACCAAGTACATCTCGCACCCGTTGCCGGCCGAGTCGTTCGACCACGCCCACTGCCACACCCTCAAAAGCGCGGCCAGCAGCAAGAAGGGCGACTCGCCGCGCAGCACACGCAGCGCCCCCTGGTCGCAGCCGCACTCCAAGGGCCTCTACAACAGCTCGGCGCCGCCCAGTCCGCGCTCGGTCCGTTCGGGCAGTCGCTATCGCTCCTCCAGCCTGGACAGTCAGAGCTCGAACGACTCGCGATTGGGCAGGAGGCGGAAGCATCGCTCCAAAGCGTCGGACAACGAGAGCGAGCTGTCGAAGAGCTCGGGGCGATCGCGCCGCAAGCACCGCAAGCGGCGCTCGAAGAGTCGGCGCGATTCGGAGTCGGAGCAGGAGTCGCGCACGCGCCAGCGCAGGCGCAGCAATTGCGCCGAACTGGTGGACTCGGGCGTGCAGTGGCAGGAGGCGCAGCTGAAGAACAGCAGCCGCGATCGCAACTCGAACAACATCCAGCACGCCACTGTGGTGCGGCCGGGCGGGGCGGAGTTTGTCGCGCAGGGGCGGCAAAACAAGCACCGCAAGCACCGCTCGCGATCACGGTCGCCCGCCGAGCCGAAATCCTGGCTGCCCGACGAGCTGAAGCAGCACCTCGAGTTCGATCTGGTCGAAACGTCGGGCATGAGCGATCTGCAGCTGAAGGAGATCCCGTACACGATTGTGAAGACCAACTACTCGAAGCATGTGAAGCTGAAGAATGCGCAGCCGTTCAAGGGGGCGGCGATGGAGGAGGCGTTGACCAATTTCTCCTATCCGGAGGCGGTGGAGGGGTCGCATTATTTCCAGGCGGGGCCCAGTGGCGCGCTGGAGGGGTTCGCGCACTTTGCGCAGCCGCAGCACGACCATTCGGACTCCGGCCTGGGCGTGGAGCGGTGAGGCCCTGGAGGGCGGGCGCGCAATTAGCCAAAGAGACTGTCCGTGATGGGGCTTGTGTAGCTGAGTGTACGATAGAAGTAAAGTTTATGTGCAGAGTTTGTTTTATTTTCATTCATTTCGGGGGCGAAAAACGCCCGGGAAGTGCCGAAATTTCGGCGCTGGTGAGCACATGCGAAATGCCGCTTTTTTCCAAGAGTGGCTGTTTTCGGAAATGTGGCCGGTTTTTGAGAAAAAGCCGAAAATGCGGTTGTGGAGTGAGTTTTTTGCTTTTTTGCCCGAAATCTGTAATGGAATTTTAGTTTCCACTTGAGCATTCGTTGAGGCAGTTGGAGGGCTACTGTTTTGGTAGAGTGAGTTTTTTTCGAAATGTGGCCGGTTTTTGAGAAAAAGCCGAAAATGCAGTTCTGGAGTGAGGTTTTTGCTTTTCTGCCCGAAATCTGTGGTGGAATTTTACTGATGACTTGGGGACTGGTTGGAACAGTCGGAGGACTACTGTTTTGGAAGAGTGAGTTTTTTTCGAAATGTGGCTGGTTTTTGAGAAAAATCCGAAATTGCGGTTCTGGAGTGAGTTTTTTGCCCGAAATCAGAAGTTAAATTTAATTTTTGACTTGGGCATGGGTTGGGCCAGTTGGAGGGCTACTGTTTTGCAAGAGTGAATTTTTTCTAAATGTGCCTAGTTTTTGAACAAATGCCTAAAATTCGGTTCTGGAGTGAGTTTTGTTCTTTTTTCCCCGACATCTCAGATCGAATTTTAGTTTTGAGTTGGGCATTGGTGGAGGCAATTGGAGGGCTAGATTTTTGGAAGAATGGGTTTTGGTTGGTAGAGAAAATATCAAAATTGGTCGTCTGGAGAGAGGTTTTTGCATTTTTTACCTAAAAAATCTAGAGGTATTCTTTCCTGACTTAGGCATTGGCTGGAGAACTTGGAGGACTAGTTTTTTGAGAGGGGGTTTTAAGGGAAATCAGCTAGTTTTAGAAAAAATCGAAATTGGAATTTGGGAGGGAGTTTTTTGCTTTATTACTCAAAATCCCTGGAGGAATGTTTTCCAGATTTGGGAATGGCTGTGGAACTTGGAGGACATTTTTTTCCAGAGGGATTTTTTCATAATGCCGAAATTGGAGTTCTGGAATGAGTTTTTTTGCTTTTTTCCTAAAAATCTTTGATGTATTCTTTGTGACTTTGCTGCCAGTTGGGACATTCGGAAGGCTACTTTCCAAAGCGAGCATTTTTTGAAAATGGGGTTCGTTTTTAAGTTTTAAAATTCGGGTGCTGGAGTGAGTTTTTTGCTGTTTTGCCCAAAATCTCAGGAGGCATTTCTTCCAAACTTGGGCATTAGCTGGGGAACTTCGAGGAGGACAGTTTTGAAAGCGACACTTTTTTTGAAAATCTGGCTCCTGTTGGAGAAATTTGCAAAATTGAGGTTCTGGAGTGAGTTTTTCGCTGTTTTTGGCCAGAATTCCTCTGGCGATCTTTTCACGACTTTGGCACTAGCTGGCGCTGGTGGAGGACTAATTTTCTCGAAGAGACCATTTTCCCGAAAATTCAATTGATTTGCGAGAAGTTGCCAAAATTGCGATTGTGGGGTGAGTCTTTTGGCATTTTTGCCCGAAATTCTTCCAGTGAGGGTTTTCTCACTTTGGCACTAGCTGGCGCGGGTGGAGGGCGACTTTTTTCAAAAAACGACTTTCTTGAAAACCCGTTTTAAAAAAAACACTGTTGCCAGCTTGATAAGCTTTTACTCGTTGACCGGTCTCGGATGGGAGTGGGCGACCGTCCATTATGCGGTTTATAAAGCGATGTGCATGTGAGAGTTTTATGTATTTTGATTAATTGGCTTCAGTCGCAGGCTTTCCTTGGAACGTTCCCACTAGAACAATGGACGAGGCGAAGAAAAGCACGTTGATGAGCGGCTTTAATTAAGCAATTGACTGATTGCGACCGGAATGATTAATTCAGAGCCAAATCAGGCTGATTGCTGGTCTGCTTAAGGCGCCCAGCCGCGTTCCCGATTTCTCCGTTTGTTTTCTAGCTGATGCTACGACTATTGGGGGGGCAACGATGAAATTTGGGAACGCAGCGTTTGGGAGGTTTTTCGCATTTTTTCCCATTTTTCTCCAAAACTAGTGGAGGCATTTTTTTCAAAGTTTGCAAGCTATTTGGACTGCGTTTTTGTAAAAGTGCGTTTTTTGTGAAAAGTCCTGGTTTTCGGGATGTTCGCAAAAATCTGGCAATTTTTCACTTGTTTTATGCACAAATGGATTTTTTTCAGACTTTGTCAATGGTTGGGGCTGTTCAGCGGCTGTTTTCTTGCAAGGGTGGTTTTTTTTGAAAAAATGTCCAGTTTTCAAGATATTTGCAAGATTGCGCTGTTGCAGGCAGTTTTTCGCTTTTTTTATACACTAATCATTTAGGGATTTTTTTCAAATTTTGACAGTATTTGAGGCTGTCGAGCATTTTTCCGCAAAAGTGGTTTTACCAAAAAATCCCTAGTTTTCAAGAAATTCGCAAAAATCGGATTTTTGGCAGGTTTTTCGCGTTTTTTATGTAGAAATTATTTAGGGATTTTTGTCAAATTTTGCCAGTCATTGAACCCGTCGAGCGGCTATGTTTTTCAAAAGTCTGTTTTTTTGAGAAATTTCCAATTTTCAAGATATTTGCAAAATTGCGCTGTTGCAGGCAGTTTTTCACCTTTTTGACGCACCAATTGTTTAGGGATTTTTTTCAAATCTTGCTAGTGATTGCGATTGTCGATTGGCCCTTTTTTTGCAAGAGTCTATTTTTATAAAAAAATCCTTAGTTTTGAAGAAATTCACAAAATTGCGATTTTTAGCCGGTTTTTGGCTTTTTTTATGGATAAATTATTTAGGGATTTTTTTAAAATTTTGCGAATTATTGAAGCTGTCGAGCCGCAATTTTTTCATAGGAGTGTGTTTTTTTGATAAAATGCCCAGTTTTCAAGATATTCGCAGAATTGCGCTTTTGCAGGCGGTTTTTCGCTTTTTTCATGCAGAAATTATTAAGGGATTATTTTTAAGTTTTGCCAGTGCTACGAACTGTCAAACGGCCATTTTTTCGCCAGAGTCTGTTTTTATAAAAAATCCTTAGCTTTCAAGAAATTCGCAAAATTGCGATTTTTACGCAGTTTTTCGCTTGTTTTATGCAGAACTTATATAGGGATTGTTTTCAAGTTTTGCCAGTGTTTCAAGCTGTCGACCGGCCATTTTTTCGCTAGTCTGTTTTTATCAAAAAATCCTTAGTTTCCAAGAAATTCGCAAAATTGCGTTTTTTTAGGCAGTTTTTCCCCTTTTCTATGCACAAATAATTTGGGGATTTTCTTCAAACTTTGCCAGTAAAGCTGGCCAGCGCCCATTTTTTCGCAAGAGTCTGTTTCTGCGAAAAAACGCCCAGTTTCCCAGATATTCGCAAAATAGGGGGTTGTGTGACCAATCACCCACTGCACTGGGGCGCATTCGCCATACAAGCCAGAACCCCCCGAAAAACCTAATTTTTCACTACTCAAGCATACCAGGAGCCAGCTGGTGGCTTCGCGCCTTCGACGGGAGCTTCATCAACAGCAGCAGGCGAACAAAGCACTGCTCACTAACTCAGGAGCGGCTCACTCACGCCAATCCCGCCAGCATGGCGAATGCGCCCCAACACAACTTTCTAATTAAAACACCAAGACCATCAAAAAAACCTCTATTTCCACCAGAAAATCACAGTCGCTTGGAACGGGGCCCCGGCTCATGCCCACTTGAGCATTCGTTGGGGCAGTTGGAGGGCTACTGTTTTGGTAGAGTGAGTTTTTTTCGAAATGTGGCTGGTTTTTGAGAAAAAGTCAAAATTGCGGTTCTGGAATGAGTTTTTTGCTTTTTTGCCCGAAATCTGGGGCGGAATTTTATTTTTGACATGGGCATTGGTTGGGGCAGTTGGAGGGCTACTGTTTTGGTAGAGTGAGTTTTTTTCGAAATGTTGCTGGTTTTTGAGTAAAAGCCGAAACTGTGGTTGTGGAGTGAGTTTTTTGCTTTTTTGCCCGAAATCTGGGGCGGAATTTTATTGTTGACTTGGGCATTGGTTGGGGCAGTTGGAGGGCTACTGTTTTGGTAGAGTGAGTTTTTTTCGAAATGTTGCTGGGTTTTGAGCAAATCTCAAAAATGCGGTCCTGGAATGAGGTTTTTGCTTTTTTACCCGAAATCCCTGATGGAATTTTAGTTTAGACGTGGGCATTTTTTGAGGCAGTTGGAGCAATGTGGCTGGTTTTTGAGTAAAAGCCGAAACTGTGGTTCTGGAGTGAGTTTTTTGCTTTTTTGCCCGAAATCTGGGGCGGAATTTTATTGTTGACTTAGGCATTGGTTGGGGCAGTTGGAGGGCTACCGTTTTGCAAGAGTGAGTTTTTTTCGAAATGTGCCTAGTTTTTGAGCAAATGCCTAAAATTCGGTTCTGGAGTGAGTTTTTTGCTGTTTTCCCCGAAATCCCAGATCGAATTTTAGTTTTGACTTGGGCATTAGTGGGGGCCATTGGAGGGCTAGATTTTTGGAAAAAGAAAAAAATTCGAAACTGGAATTAGAGAGGGAGTTTTTTGCTTTACTGTTCAAAGTCCCTGGAGGAATGTTTTCCAGATGTTTCGAGGACAGTTCTTTTGCTAGAGGGATTTTTTCACCACCAAAACACCAAGAACCACAAAAAAACCTCTATTTCTCCCAGAAAATCACAGCCTTCGCCTCACGCCTTCGCCTCCGGGGGCTCGGCCCCCGGAGGCACAAAGTAGGCCTGGATCTCCTCCAGCGTCCGCCCCTTGGTCTCCGGCATGCACACCAGCACGAACAGCGTGCCGACCACGCCCATGCCCCCATAGAAGTAGAACACCCCAAAGTCGCCCAGGGCGGCCACCATGGTGGGGTAGAGCTTGACCACCACGAAATTGAACACGAAGGTGGACGCTGTGCTGATGCCGGCCGCCGTTCCGCGGATGTTCTTCGGGTAGACCTCCGAGGCGAGGGCGAAGGGCAGCGGGTAGAACCCGATGGTGGTGATGAAGAAGTAGAAGACCAGCAGCGCGAGCGGCACGAGCGGCAGCGGCTGCGCCATGAGCCCGCGCTTCAGAAGCACGATGTAGCTGCCCAGGGCGAGCATGCTCAGAGCGATGCCGACGCCCGAGGCGAGGCCGAGGGTGCGCCGGCCGAGGCGCGTGCTCAGAAAGCTGATCAGCACCATGCCGGCCAGGCGCACCAGCGCAATGGCAACGATGGCAACGTGGGGGTCCAGCGCCACTTGGGCGCCCTTCACTATGTCGATGGCGTAGTACATGATGGCGAAAATGCCGGTGAACTGCTGGAAGAAGAAGTAGGCGAGCACCAGCCGGTAGGGCCGCAGGAAGTTCGGGCGCGTCAGCATCTTCAGCTTCTTGACGAACTGCTGCGGCAGCGTTTTCTGCTGCGTCTTCTCCTTCTTCACGCGCCGGTTGTTCAGCAACGTTTCCATCTCGAGCTGCACGTCCTCAGTGTAGGTGCGCGTGCCGTGCAGTCGGCACATGCTCGTCCGGGCTTCTTCGAAGCGCTGCTTCGTCACCAGCCAGGGGGGCGACTCCGGGATGAACAGCTGCAGGAAGAGGAGGCCGATCAGCGGGAAGACGGCCGCGATCAGCGCTATCGAGCCCCAGTCGTCCTGAAACGGCACGGTTTAAGCTGGGGAGTGTTGCGGGCCTGTTTCGAGCGCGTTACCTTGAAGATGAGCCCCAGCAGGTACACGATGAAGATGCCGATGGCGTAGAAGAGCGACACCCACGTGGTGAAGACGCTGCGCAGCTCCACGCTGGCCACCTCCGCCATGTAAACTGAGGCGGGGCTGCCGCACAGCCCTGAAACCGCCCCGAATGTTTTGGATTTTTCCACATCCGACCACTAGCAAGCGAGTTATGGGGCGTTTTGTCTTTGAGGGGCGACCCGGTTAATTTCCATTTAGCCGCGTTGATGATGGAGGGATTGCGAAACGTTTCCCGGCAAACTTGTGGAGAATTTCAGTGGCT